CCCCTTAGTAATGCCAGGACGAATGCAGCAGCACAGAACAAGCCACCTGCATCTTCTGTTTATTGTGTGACAGGAATATTACGCTTTATCTAGCAGGACAGATTGCATCCCTGGTTGCTGCTGGCCACAAAAGGCTGCTGCAAAGATATTTTTGGTACAGTACAGCCATGCTTGATGATGTGCCTGTAATTGGTGCAGTTGTCTGTGGACAAATTGAATTAAGCTCACAGTTTAAAAGACTTATTAATGCAAGCAACCAAAACCTGCTGTGGGAGGATGAGGAATATTATTAAGAAAAGGGATGAAAAGCAGCTTGGCACGAGAAAACAAACAGCAGGTCATCTGTTTGCCCCCACTAAGATATTGCAGTAGAGAACTCACTAGCAATTTGTTTGTTGTCAGGCGGTAGGAATTCAATGATACGATTCCACAGATTAAACGTCATAAGGGAGGTGCTCATATCAGTTGGTGTGATTTACAATAATTCATACCGTCATAAATCTTTCAGATGTGTACAGCTGGATAATACTCAGATATAATATTCCCTTTCATGTGTATGTGCCTTCTCAGTAATTATTACACATATTTTTTGGTTCAACAGCAGTTTTAGGCTTGCTGTGTCGCTGCATTGGGGTGGGAACATATTAGCTGCATTTTGATTTCAAATATAACTCACAGATATTTCCATTCAATAAGATAAGGATATTTGACACTGTAATTCACAGTCATGTCATTACAGAGATGTCATGCGTCTTGAGGTTTATTACAAGCAGTGATGAATGATTATAAGAAAACTGATTACAGGATGCATTAATGTTTTATAGTGAGTGAGCTTTAGAGAGTGTTTTGAAATAGTCCATTGTTATTGCTTTGATCAAACAAATAAATAACAGATACGATTTATTTTAGTTACTTTATTAAGATGTTAAGAAAATAGATAACATTTATTATACCTAAGCTTTTAAATAAATCAAAATTTGGTCTATGTTTAGTTACAAGATGGTGAAAAATCTTTGGCCACCGCTGGTTTGAGTGCAGGAGTATGAAACGATTTGTTTACAGGAAAAAGAAAAGGAAACAGGAAGATATACAAACACATTAGTACAGAATAGGGGTGAAGTTGGGCTGAATGGTAGATTTCAACTCATCCAAAAATGTGCCTTAAAGCTAATTAGGTAATACAACATTGTATTACCTAATTAGCACATAATTGCACAGAATTTCATATTTTAGAGTCAAAAAGAATTCAGAAGTCCTCTATGTTTAAACGCTAAGTATCGAAAAATTCATACAGTAACTGATCGATCTGTTTACAGACATCATCATTTTTTGCATCTGATGCAGTCTAATTATTTATTTAACATGAAATCTGACCAAAATTCAGGCATAAAAAAACCTTTGTGGCTTTTTTAGAAATAAATGCCACCAAGTCAATGACATTTTCTGTTCAATGCTGTGCATTTACTTGGAAGGAAAGCCGATTAAACTAGACTGTTTGTAAAACCTATTTTAATAAGATAAATGTGCCTTATCTAAATGCATTTTCCCAATTATCAATTATAGTTTGCAACTATATTGCATACAAAATATTTTTAATTGTACTGACAATGCATACAGTTGAACATTGTCAGTCAGCTTAGGTTTTTCCTTGCTGGCTCACTTTAAGACTGAGTTGCTGGCTTCTAAATCAGATTCTGCTCAGGACCTGATTCAACCTTGTGGTCCTGCCCTGTCTGTTAGCAGGGAAAAGGCATCTCAGATGGTACAAAGATCAGAATCTTTTTGGCTCCGAAAGAGGAACTGCAGTGGCACAATCATGTTGCAGTAAGCATACTATAGTGTTACTCAGCGTCCAGAGGACACATGGAGAAAGATTATTAAACTTTTATCTCAGCTAGACAACAGGTCAGGAGCAAAGCTGATACTGGAAACTATAAAACATTTATCCCTATAAGGTGCACCAACAGAGTCCCATTTAAGGCTGCAGAAGATTACGGTATGTAGCAACCTTGACAATGTACATGTTCTTAGGAATATCAATGCTGATAAATGCATAACAAATGGAAGCCCTTATTCAAATAGCTTTGTCAAAATTAATCAAATATGGATAGCTCTACAAAAAAAAGTGCTGTGCGACATTTTGATGTATGACTATAATAGAATAGGATTATGCAGACTTAGTTGCAAGGAGGGCAATATAGAGAAGTGCTTTGCCAACAAAACACAGTGAAACATTTGATCTAAATCACTCACTAGGGTTTATCTCCACATTACAAGAACCCAATCATCTGCAAATGTGAGAATATCTTTAATTTCAGTCAAACTAAATGTCCCACCAGTGTTGCAAACCAGTATGATTTCTCAAGGAAGCCAACATAACTCTAGTGTGCGGCTATCATTTATAGGATACAAACTGAGAGAACATCTTGTGATTCAGGAAACACGTTATCAGTTTAATGACTGTTACAAATTCATTCACAAAGTCGTGGATGTGCCTTACATGTTAAAGGTTAACTTTTCTACTCGACTGTAGACCTTGTTAGTTGGAGCTGGTTTTGCAGCTGATCGCAAAACGTTACCCTGCTTTCTCCGAACCAATTCTTTCTTTGGCCCGGGAGTTTTATCTGGTTTGTCTAACAGGCTACCTGAAGATGTTTAAACATGGGGTATAAAAAAACAAAAACAAATTATTCCTCCTGTAAAGAAAAAGAGCATTAGTCAATAGGAATGATGAATTGTCTTGACGCTATAGTATAATCAATAAGACTGGGTGTTTAATCTGACACTGTATCCGTGCTGTCTGGAATATTGTAGACCTGAGACTTTACTGAGCCTCTTCTGGAAATTACTTCAAATCGAAATAAATCGCAATAAACACAATTTTTTTGTTTTATTTTACAAAAGGGAAATGAAAATAATTCTTTATTGTAAATCTTACATAAAAAATTTAACATCATTCACAACCTGTTACACAAGCAGTTTAGGGTGGGGGGGGCGGGTGTAACCTTAGCTGGAACAAGGAGTAACTATATGCAGTTTTATTCCATTGCAGAAAAGATTTCCTCCACTTTGTGACAGTAAAGCTCATAGTTAAAAACTATTTTTGGTGGGTAATAAAAAGTAAATAACATAATTGCATTGTAGTTTTATTTTCTTTTAAGTGGGTTGGTTATTGTAAACAGTAATTATGCACAGAGCAATGACTGGAGAATAATTCTTCACTTCCTGGTTTTGTTTCTACCAACCACATTACAAACACATTCCTAAACATGGATCAGCTACTGAATATGTCCTACTGGTAAACAGCTGAATCTGTTAGGGTTGGGCTGTCTTTATAGACAACACTACAATCCAACAGGTGTGCAGTTAGGTAATATGCATTAAAAGTCAGGTTATTTTTAGACTTTGTGCCACAATTTTAAATATTAACATGTTTAGAAAACTGATATGGTTGTGATTTTATTTGTATATAAGGATACTGAACAATTTTAACTAAGGGACCCTTTGAGTGCAAAAACTACAGCTTTTGCCATCTATGCTTCTCAGAACTTTTAAAAAGATGTTACAAAACCTCAAACTTCAAACAATTGGGGGATGTTTCCTGGTGCTTCCCTAAAGCTTAGCTTTGCAACTATTTTATTTAAAAAAACCATGAACACATTTAATACAAAAATGGCCAGACTACCGGTTCAAATAGGCAAAGCCAACACACACACACACACACACATATATAAATCTGCAGCATACAACAGGAGTGGAGGGACACTGATTGAGCAAGTGCACATTTAGGACATCAAAATTAAACCAGTTGTGGGATTTGGAATGCACCTTGAATATGATGTAATAAAAGTGAGGAAAACATAGAATGGATTACCACTGACTGTGAGCACGAGGTGAAGAGGAGACTATCATGGATTATCTGGTCCCTGTTTACCTAGAGCTAGACCTGGGCTTTCCTTTGCTCCCTTCATGTTTTTTATTTTTATTTTATTGTTTTCTTGAAAGGGCTCTTAAGTCATAGTTTTATGGGCTTTCTACCTCAGGGAATTTATATTTTAACATTTTCTAAAGTTTTTCTTCCTTTTGGGGCTCTTCAGAACATGACCTTCAGCTTGGTCTGAGTGGTTGCATATCCAAGGGTTACATTGCCAGGATGAGAGTGTGTTCCTCTGAGTCTGAAAAGACAAATAAATAAAGAAACTGTGTCATTTTAATTATTTTAGTACATCCATCACCTAATTTTAACCTCTACCAGAAGCTTATAATTTAACGTCTAAATGAAACAGCGCATTATGTGTCAATTTCCATTTATATCCCTTTTAACCATGCTACTTTGGCCAATACTTTTATTTCAAATGTTATTGTAAATAAAGTCACCTTCCTTCCGATAGGTGGTAGCAATGAGCCTCTCAGTTGGTTTCCAAACCCGCATCATATGCAACACGAAAAAGGAGAACAAAGCCTGCACACATTTCAGCTGCGTATTGTGAGGGTATTGTGTTACAGCTGCAGAGAAACCTCAGTATGGCAGACGTTATAACTGCTGATGAGGAACAAAAGCAAGAAGAAACTACCGCGTCCGTCCCCTCCGAGACGGACGAGACATCCCAGGAAACACCCAACGGTGTGAAAACGTGAGTAACAATGGGGGCTGCTGCTCCTCCGTTAAGGAGCTGCTAACCCCTTTAGCTAAAATGGAGGCTCCTGGATGCTAATTGTTGTTAGCACAAATGTCCCTATTTGCTGCTGTAAACAAAAACAGACGGCAATAACAACAATAATGCTCTCAAACGCG